GTTAGACGACTCTACATGTTTTGACGTTACAACATTACAACTTCTGAGGATGACGTTGTAACGTCGAAACATGTAGAGTCGTCTAACTTTTTGAAGGCCATAGATAAGCCTAAATAAAATGTTTTTAATTGTGTACCAGTTTAACGATGAATATTATTTATGATTTTAAGGAAATGGCACTTTTAATAAGAGCATTAAATTTCATAAATTTTGCACAAAATTCTAGACTACTTCCCTAGTTTGCGCAGGAGAATGGTCTTACTGCCAGTTGGCACTGAGCAGTGGTACTATGAGGTATGTGGTCATGTTGCTCCCAGCACTGTACTTTTACCTAATAATTTATATAAGTGGTTTAACAATCCAACCATTCTAGTGCTTCTCACCCATGATAATCAAAGACGGATCATACATCTGAAGAAAATTATTTTTTGAGGATGACTTGTCTGACTTTAATAGAAACCGCTCAGTGGTGCATAGGGTATGTGCCATACCTAAGGTACGCCATTGTAATCATTACTTTCTGATTGTCAAATATGCCAGGAACAATTAGATTCTCTAGTGTGTATCAATGATTGTTGATGATCTGATTATCAAATATACCAGGAACAATTAGATTCTCTAGTGTGTATCAAGGATTGTTGATGATCTGATTATCAAATATACCAAGAACAATTAGATTCTCTAGTGTGTATCAAGGATTGTTGAAGATCTGATTATCAAATATATCACGAACAATTAGATTCCCTAGTGTGTATCAAGGATTGTTGATGATCTGATTATCAAATATACCAGGAACAATTAGATTTTCTAGTGTGTATCAATGATAGTTGATGATATGATTACCAAATATACCAGGAACAATTAGATTCTCTAGTGTGTATCAATGATAGTTGATCTGATTATCAAATATACCAGGAACAATTAGATTCTCTCATGTGTATCAAGGATTGTTGATGATCTGATTGTCAAATATACCAGGAACAATTAGATTCTCTAGTGTGCATCAATGATTGTTGATGATCTGATTATCAAATATACCAGGAACAATTAGATTCTTTAGTGTGTATCAAGGATTGTTGATGATCTAATTATCAAATATACCAGGAACAATTAGATTCTCTAGTGTGTATCAATGATAGTTGATGATCATTGTTGATGATATGATTATCAAATATACCAGGAACTATTAGATTCTCTAGTGTGTATCAATGATAGGTGATGATCCGATTATCAAATATACCAGGAACAGTTAGATTCTCTAGTGTGTATCAATGATAGTTGATGATCATTGTTGATGATCTGATTATCAAATATACTAGGAACAATTAGATTCTCTAGCGTGTATCAATGATAGTTGATGATCTGATTATCAAATATACCAGGAACAATTAGATTCTCTAGCGTGTATCAAAGATAGTTGATGATCTGATTATCAAATATACCAGGAACAATTAGATTCTCTAGTGTGTATCAAGGATTGTTGATGATCTGATTTTCAAATATACAAGGAATAATTAGATTCTCTAGTGTGTAAACAAAACCAAGTAACAACTCTTATAAGTACACTAATGAGCTTCCTAGACTAGCAACCTATGGATACTATTAGTCTAAAAACAAAACAGAATCAAGTAACAGCTCTTATACGTGCACTAAAGAGCTTCCTAGACTAGCAACCTATGGATACTATTAGTCTAAAAACAAAACAAAATTAAGTAACAGCTCTTATAAGTACACTAATGAGCTTCCTAGGCTAGCAACCTATGGATACTATTAGTCTAAAGACAAAAAAATCAAGTAACAGCTCTTATAAGTACACTAAAGAGCTTCCTAGACTAGCAACCTATGGATACTATTAGTCTAAAGACAAAAAAATCAAGTAACAGCTCTTATAAGTA